CCCCCCCCACGGACAGGGAGCAGCAGGCCCAGGCCACCTCCTGTGCACACGTCTCCCTGGGTCACTGGCCGCTGTTCTTACAAAACAATGACAGAGCCTGTGCCACAGGTGTGTTGCCTTTCCCTGAATACGTGGATTTTGCTTAATTTTTAGTCTTGGATCTTAAAAAAGTGAGCAGTGACTTGAGTCCAGTGGCAGTCTGGAGTAAAATGGGAAGGGGAGGATTAACGAGCAAAGACGGAGCCCAGGCCAGAGCACGAACAAGGCTCGCACCCAGAGGCCTCGGGAACCGTGGGAGAGAGGTGATTCTGCCTGGCCTGTGTTCACAGCAGAGCCTGGAGATGCGCGCTCAGGCAGACATGCATTGCGGAAGGTGCACCTGCGCCCCACACCCCCACCACCAGCAGCTCCCCTCAGCAGGGGAACAGGCGGACATCCGGGGTGGCTCCCCTTCCAAGACCAGCTCCTCCTCTTGGGTAAATCTGGCCACAGAGGCGGGAGCACAATTCACCACCAGACTCATCTGGGTGACACGTGGGCCCTCACCCCACCCCAGCTTACGTGGGTCCATCTCCAGCAGAACCTTCCACTCTTCCATCTTGTGGAGGTCAAGGCAGTACAAGTCACTGAGGGTGACCTGGCAGTCCCCAGTCTCAAACATGCCCCCATAGACGTAGAGCACCCCGTGCTTCACGGCCACCATGGCATTGGAGCGAGGGCATGGCTTGACCACAGGGCCACTGGCGTCCTCAGGACTGTCTTCATCTTCAGTCTGGGGCTGTCCCACTGGATATGGGGCCGCAAGCACTTGCTTGATGGTGACCACGGTCCCGTCTTCGGCCACCACCTCTTTAACCACCTCCAGGGGCTCCGGGGTACTAGCTCCCCCTTTCGCCTGCATGCTGGAGCCTTTGGGCTCCTCCTTCCTGTCCCGCCGCCGCTTCTTCTTCTCTGACTTGGGTCCCTGTTAATGAAAGGAGAGAACAGAGCAGTAAACTTATTAACACAGAGCAGGGCCACCTTGCCATGCCCACCAGGCCGGCCACGGGCTTGTGGGGAAAGGAGTCCACACATGGACTCCTTTGGGAGAGCGTGACCAAGGGCAGTAGGTATGCCAGACTGGCAGGAGGGCACCGCTGGTCTCCTACCAGTCTCACCATTCACTACTGGGATAGAGGAAACAATCCCCTGGTTTCATCATCACCGGGAAGTGTGCCACACCTCCACTGTGGTGGAAAAGGCCCAGCAAACACCTTGAAGCAGCACATAGGTAAGCTGAGGCTCATCTTGGGAAACTCCAACCCACCCACAAGGGCCAACACACAGGACTGCAGCAGCTGCGATAATTCTCCCTGACTTGTACCCTCTGCCCATGGTGAGGCGACACGTTGGGTCAAAAATATGAGCAGGTTACTTACAAGCACTGGGCCCAGAGAGGGAGCCCTTCACTTCGCTACCGAATATCCCTCCCGCAGGACTGCTGCTCACCCCACTCTGCCTGCTCCCCTGGCCATGGCACGGCCATGGCCCTCTTCTTGCAGAATGTTGTCATCTCACGAGATGACGTTTGCATGCGACTTTCACGTCTTCTGGCTACCAGTACCTCCGGATCGACCCCAGGTGGATCCACATTCTAGACTTTGTATCTGGGCCTGCACAACGACAAGTTTTGAACAGGAAAGCTCCCTGGTGTCCGCAGTCATTTCTGTGAGCATTAAAGAGTCCTGAGACCAGGCAGCCAAGGACCGCAGCACTCTTCCACCTGCCAGGGCTCAGTGCTCACTGAGAAGTCAGAGGGAGAGACCTGCTCAGGCTTCACTTGGTGCAGTTCCTCCTAAAAGTAAAAACCTGAAGGGTCCAGAAATGAAGCCTCAGGTTTAAGTGATTTTCATCAAAGGTGCCAAGACACTTCGATGGCAGACCCAAGTCTTTGCAACAAACAGTGAACCACTCTCCTCCAGCCACAGGGCTGTTTCTGGGTCCAGCTGGTCTGGGGAACTCATGCAGACCCTGCGGCGGGCTGGGGGCTCCACTCTGGGACTCATTCACTGCTCTGCTAGTGTCAGGCTGGGCAGGCGCTGGGGCCGCGGAGCCTCAGCTGTGCTTCTTGCAAGGACAGCAGAGGAGGGGCAGGAGACTGGGGCAAATGTAAGCAGCCATGACAAGCCCTGGTCACACACAGGGCCAGGCCAGGAGTCTCTGCCTCATGCATCCAGCACGGTGGCAGAGGCCGGCACCAGAACGGCTGGGGCTCCGTGACCAAGGGCTCCTGAGCCCAGCCAGCAGGGCCACACGCAGATGAGAATGCCCTCTTCCAGGAGCTCATGGGCTGCAACGCCCAGACACCCTGCCTGAAAGAAAGCAGGGCCTGCATGGGAGGGCGGCAGGTGGGGACGTGAGGGTCCCGGAGCCATGTCCTGACCCACGACGCACCCTGGTGCGACCTCCCCTAGAGTCAGACTCTACCTTTAGCTGTCCTGCAAACCAGCGGTTCCTGGTGGCATCATAGAAATACAGGTCATTGAAGAAGTCACCCTCCAGTCTCTCTTCCTCCTCCTCGTCACAGACACCCCCAAAGAGAAGCATCTGATGATTTGGGGCCACAGCCACGGAAAAGCCAGACCTTGGAGTGGGCTTGACTCCAGAAGGGTTAGTCCGAGTCCATGCCCACTTACCTGTTGAAGGAGAACAGAAATGGGGTAAGAAAGGCAGGAGGGGATCTGAGGCCCAGCAAGGGAGACCCGAGGGTCCCCCGGGCACCCACAGTGATTGGGACAAATGAAAAGACACAAGACTGTGGGAGAAAAACACCACGTGTGCTGTCTGTGCTCCCTCTGCAGACAAACAAGTCAGTCAGTCCTCGACTTATGTGCTTCTGACTTTGCAATGGGTTTATCGGGATGTCTCCACTGTAAGTTGAGGAACATCTGTACAGTTCAACACCCCCCTCAAGTTTAATACTTCTTATGGTTCACTTTGCATTAAAGTAACTTTTTTTTTTTTAAAGATGACCAGTAAAGGGATCTTAATCCTTAACTTGGTGGTGTCAGCACCACGCTCTCCCAAGTGAGCTGACCGGCCATCCCTATATAGGGACCGGAACCCGTGGCCTTGGCCTTGGTATTATCAGCACCACACTCTCCCAAGTGAGCCACAGGCCAGCCCTTAAAGTAACTTTTTTCACATACCCTCCAAACACCTTGAGCTAGGGGCTATCTCCAGCAACAGCTGAAAGGCAAGGATCGGACAGAAGGGCACGAGGCAGCCCACAACGCCACGGAGGGCTCAAGCTGAAACGTGCCTCCTGTGGGTGGCGTCCCAGGCAAGGACTCTGCTTCAAGTGGAACTGGCCTCTGCACGGACCACACCATCTCCTCCCTGGCTTAATGCCAGATCCATCTGGTCCTACCCCCACAGAGGCCTCACTGGCTTCTGCCAGGCACGTCTCTCTCACGGCTGTATCTACTTCGTGCTCTTCTTTTCCAGAAAGTGCTCGTCTATATAACAACCCTCAAAATGTAACTCAGTGTGAGAGGCAGGGGGTAGCCTTCCCACCACTTACAGAAAAGAGAACTGAGACTTTTCCTTTAAGGAGCATTTAAAAAAATAAGTCAAGGGAAGCCATGAACGACAAACATTCTGCTGTGCTGAGCCTGCGCTGACCACTTGTGCACAGCGCACATGGGACTCCATCCAGCCACCAGTGGGCCGTGAGATGAGTGTGTCACAGCCAGCACTGCACTGCGTAAGGAGCCAGGAGAGACTGAGACAGCAGAGCATACTGCACACTCAGGGCCAGGAATGCTTCTCTTCGCTTATGTAAACACTGCACACGAGTGTGTGATAACTTCGTATAATGTATGCTATACGAAGTTATTACGAGCCATGAACGGCAAACATTCTGCTGTGCTGAGCCTGCGCTGACCACTTGTGCACAGCGCACATGGGACTCCATCCAGCCACCAGTGGGCCGTGAGATGAGTGTGTCACAGCCAGCACTGCACTGCGTAAGGAGCCAGGAGAGACTGAGACAGCAGAGCATACTGCACACTCAGGGCCAGGAATGCTTCTCTTCGCTTATGTAAACACTGCACACGAGTGTGTGCCTGAACGCAGGCTCAAGTTCACAGATGTGTCCACTGGACAAGTCACTCGATGACTCTAAACCTGGTTCCGCATGGAACAACATGTCTGTCTTCCTCGGCTGCTGTGAATGCACTGGGCGTGGCTACCTAAGAAGCACTTGGGAACGGAACGTTTCTGAGACCTTGGCTTGAAGAATTTTAGCCCAAGAAAGAGGCAAAGATGTTTTGCACAGAAGAAAGACCTCACTGGGAGGCTGAGGGACTTGCTGTTGGCCACAAAAGCAGACCTGGCTTCAGAGCCGTAGCCTCCTGGGTCTGGCCCAGCCCTCTCATCCCAAGACAGCCAGTGTCCTGTTGAGGCAGCCACCTCCAATCTCCTAATGAACACTGGGAACATCAACATTCCAGAATTCTATATCCTGACATCATCCACATGCTCTTAAGCAAGAACAAATACAATTTTTTATCTTTTTTTTTTTTTTTTTTTTTTAAAAAGATGACCGGTAAGGGGATCTCAACCCTTGGCTTGGTGTTGTCAGCACCACGCTCAGCCAGTGAGCGAACCGGCCATCCCTATATAGGATCCGAACCTGTGGCCTTGGTGTTATCAGCACTGCACTCTCCCGAGTGAGCCACGGGCCGGCCTCAACTACAATTTTTTAAAAGAAATGACTGAAAAGTAGTTCCCCTGCTGCCACACACTATGCACAAGCATGGCTCTGTGATGGGGAATGCGTGGAAAGCAGCCGCTGCAAGAGATGCTGTCCAAAGTGCACCCAGCATGGGGACACCCAGGACAGATGGTAGTATAGGCATTTTTACTATGTTAATTCTTCCAATCCCAGAGTATAGAATATCTTTCCATCGTTTTGTGTCTTCTTTAATTTCTTTCCTGTTTTTTTTTTTTTTTTTAAAAAGATGACCGGTAAGGGGATCTCAACCCTTGGCTTGGTGTTGTCAGCACCACGCTCAGCCAGTGAGCGAACCGGCCATCCCTATATAGGATCCGAACCTGTGGCCTTGGTGTTATCAGCACTGCACTCTCCCGAGTGAGCCACGGGCCGGCCTCAACTACAATTTTTTAAAAGAAATGACTGAAAAGTAGTTCCCCTGCTGCCACACACTATGCACAAGCATGGCTCTGTGATGGGGAATGCGTGGAAAGCAGCCGCTGCAAGAGATGCTGTCCAAAGTGCACCCAGCATGGGGACACCCAGGACAGAACACACCACAGCGATCAGAGCGGTTGGGCCATCCTGGGCCCTGCCAGGTGCCAGGGCCTCGCTAAGGACTCTCCCATAAGTAATCTCATTTCATCCTTTTTATAAGTCACAAATTAACAATTATTGTTACCCTATTTTTTTAGTAAGAAAATTTCCATTCTTAGATCCATTGGTTGAAAACTCTTAGCAATCCAGGCACTCCAACAGTCTCCGAGTTCAGCAAGTCCTCAGTGCTAGGGCCCGGCTGCTCAGAGGCACATCTGCCCCTCATCCCCATCCTGGCTATCCCCGTGAGGGTTGGCTGCACTCAGTAATAATTCCTGAGACTCCATTAATAAGCAAGCAAGCACTAGCCCCTGGCTGGACAGCCCAGAATCCCGCTGCTGCCCCAACCCAAGGAGTGAGTTCCCTCGGAGCAACGGCCCCACCACCTGAGTTCCAAGTGGCCCCTGATGGCTCCAGGTGGGCTTGCATTCAAGACCAATGAACTTTCTTCCCACTGAGAGCTCGAGAGAGCCTTCCCACAGGTGCTCAGGAGGCTCTGAGAGAAGCTACGTATCCAGCATGTGTCTGGGTGGGAACTGACGTCCACTGTGCTAGAGGCTTCCATGAAGCAAGGTCATGGGTGAATGCTGCCTGGGTCCAGACAGGCAGAACTAGGGCTGTGTACAGTGTCCCGCCCAGCCCCATGTCCACAAGAAGGGAGCGTGGGCTTCACCTCTGCCCACGGGCTCAAGAGTGCCGGTCTCAGAGGAACATGCACACAAGCCACACCACTGGACCTTGCCACTCAGCGCTAGTACCTTTTTGCCCGTCCTCAGGCTTCAGCAGGAACATATCTGAGTGCTGGGTGCCTTTGTCCACATCTTTCTTGACTCTCTGCAAAAGCAAAAAGATTTGTGTGAGAACCACTCAGGGCATCTACAACAGCCAGTCACAGCCCCCCCCCCCCCCGGGCTTTTAGGGCATTTCAGATAGGAAGACTCAGGAGCCTTTCCTTGTAGACCAGACTCAAAAATCTAAACCATGACAGGAGTTCTAAAGAGAGCCATTGGTCCATTCAATTCTGACATTACCTGGCAGATACGATTTATTAACTAAAAGTAGATCAATTTTTAAAATCCACCCTTCCAATGACCACAATCATGCCAGGACATCTAGAGATGTCTCATGAGAACTGCTGCAACTTCTACAGCAGGTGCAGGGTCCTGCTGGACACGGCACTGGGACCTCTAATAATGTCATCACACAGCCATGCTTCACTTTCGCTCCCGTGAGCCTGCCACTCCCACCATCTCTCAAATGTGATTCAAGCTTTGGTATGGGAATCAAATTAACGTTCTGCCCACTTAAAGACTCTTCTGAGCCTCAAAAATAATAAAGTCCACATCGTTAATTAACCCTTAGTCTTCTCCTAATTACCTTTATTATTGCCACCAGACCAGACAGGCCATTCTCCGACAACATCCCACACCCTCACACCACACCTCAATCCCAGGCACCAGAAGTGGTCAGAATGTTATCAGCAAAATGCTCTTCCTTGGTGGAGGGACTCCAGTCCATTTCAATTTCTTCTCGGTGTTTGTGTTTTAAATTGTTTTTAATACTTTTTTTTAAGAAGTTTTACATTTATAGAAGAATTAGAAAGATAGTACAGAGTTCCCGTACCCGCTACACCCAGTTTCTCCTACGGTTAATACGTTATGTTAGTATGGTATATTTGTTAGAATTATTGAACATTCATTGACACACTGTTATTAACTAAGTCCACACTGTATTCACTGTATATAATCATCTCATCTCTCCTCTGGCTGTGACAGTTTCTCAGACTCTCCTTGTCTCTGATGTCCTTGACAGTTTTAAGGAACACACTACTCGGGTGTTTTGTAGGATGTCCCTACACCGAGATTTCTCTGATGCTTTTCTCTTGGTTAGACTGGGGTGATTGGCTTTTGGGAGGAAGACCCCAGAAGTGAAGTGTCCTCTCCTCACATCCTGTGACGGTTCCGCACCATCACCATGGTTCATCACTGTGATGCTGACCTTGAGCACCTGACCGAGGTCATTTACCAGGTTTCTCCATGTGAAGTTACTGTTTGTCCCCTTTCCATCCTGCACTCTCTTTGCAAGGAGGTCACTGTGTGTGGCCCCCACTGAAGGAGAAGGGGATCACATTCCACCTGCCTGAGGAAGAAGCGTCTGCATATATTATCTGGAATAATTCTGCAAGGGCGACTTGTCTCTTTCCCCAGTTGATTTCATCAGGACAGGGTAGGACAGGGTAGACTCGTGCACATTTATGCTACGCTCTGGGTAGAACCCAATGGCGCTTTGCTTTGTAGCTCAGGCTGTTCCAGCTTTGGCCTTTGAAGCTCTTCTGGTTGGCCCCTGTATTCTCGGATCGGACGTGGGTCTCTTCAGCACTTGCTTGGCTCTGGCAGGAGAGGATGCTCTTGGCTCATCTGGTATGTCCTCTGCTCTGCAGTTGGCCATTTCTCAGGAGTCCTGCTTCCTTTCACTGGAGAGTACTGGTAGAAACCCAGACCTGGGCATTGGGGGCTGCTGTTCATCTGACAAGCAAGGAGACATACGCGTATAGTTCTCTTTCTTTTAACTAACATGCACTGTGTTTACTGTAAGGGGAAAAGTGGGCAGTGGCCGCCTGGGTGTCTGCGTGACCCCTGGGCAGCAGTAACCAGCTGGAGGGTGTCAAGTCCACCCACCCCGATGCCTTCACAGTGTCCTATGAAAATCCAGCTGCACCAATGCTGTGACAACTGAAGCTGGAGAAAATGAGGAAACTGTCTAGACTACCCTCAAGTTTACGACTAGTAAAAAATACTCAGATGAAGCTCCCCTTTATGAAATACTTTCCCAGGAAAATCTAGACGATAAAGATGTCTCAGACAGTTTAAAACTACTAGCATACAGGCTGAAAAAAATCTTGGTATGGTGAGGATGTTTACTCTAGTGATAGCTGTGCAAGAAAATTAAAGGAAATAGTAGATCAGATAAAAAAGGAGAAGAGAGAAGGAGAAAAAGAAGCAGAAGCAGACAAAAAGGACTTATTCTACAGCGCTCCTGCTACATCAGAGAATTTCTTAAGCTGGAAGGCCGAGTTTGATGCAGAACTCTTGGAAATTAAAAGGAAATGGCTGAAATAAGAGAAGCAAGCAGGAAAAAACAGATTGAGTGGGGAATGGCTATTTAAAGCAGATCATGAGCTCAACACCTGACGTGCAGTTTTTGCAGGATGCTGGAAACAGTGTGGAGGTGGTGGATGAGCCTTGTTCCAGGAAATGGATGACTTGGAGCTGGAGGATGAGGAAGGTGATCTGGACTACGACCCCACTGACCCAGAGACTGACAGAACCAACAGGCACCTCGTCCCTGTCCACAGACAGGCCTGCCCGCTACGGCAGCTGTGGCTGTGCTGAGAGGGTTCTGAGTCTCCTTTCTTGTCTTCTAGGAAAAAATAATTTTCCAGATATTCCTCTGATAGCTTTCATCAGTGAACTCAATAAACTGACCTTAAACTTTCAATGAAAAAAAGATTCTCCTTTTGAAAAAGTAAACAATCCAACTGCCCACGGATATTTCGTATTTCCATCTGGGCCTGAATATCCCAAAACCAATGAGGTTCAACATCAGTCACATGTGGAGAGCAGCCTGAATCTCAGGAAATGGAAGCTGGGTGTAAGCCTCTTCTGTTTTCCTTCCGGGAACATCTGTGCAACTCGAGTGGTGCGACTTCTGCACATTCGGACAGTTAAGACGAGGCGTTCTTTTTCCAGCAGGTTCACACGGAGGAAATGGCTCTCACTTCCGTGCCTACTCTTCCAAACCAAAGGCCCAGTGTCACTGGGAACTGAATTCACACCCAGAGAGGACTTACCTGTTGAGGGGACACTGAAGGAATTCAGCGACGTCTCTATTTGTCATTAGAAACTCAAATCACAGCTGAGCCTCAGCAGACCTTTTCCCAGCCTCCGTTTGGAACCTGCACCTGCCGACATTAACTTTCTTCTTGTTTTGCTGACAGCACCATTTCCTTCTTAGAATCAACAGGCTTGGGCCGGCCCGGTGGCGCACTGGATAGTGCGCCGCTTGGGAAGCGCGGCGGCGCTCCCGTCCGAGGGTTCGGATCCCATATACAGACCGGTTCCCGCTCACTGGCTGAGCGAGGCGCGGGAGCAACACCGAGGGTTGCAATCCCGTTGCCGGTCCCCGGTCCGGTACGGGGGCAACACTGAGGGTTGCGATCCGTTGCCGGACACGGAAAAAAGACAAAAGACAAAAAAAAAAAAAAAAAAAA